TCTCTCTCTCTCTCTCTCTCTCTCTCTCTCTCTCACATAGAACGTAGAAGGTGTAATAATCTTCCCCCGAAAAGCACTCAAGAACACCATAGTGGGTTCTTGAAAATGCAGCTGAGTGCCGGGCGGTGGTGGCACACACCTTTAATCCCAGCACTCGGGAGGCAGAGGCAGACGGATCTCTGTGAGTTCGAGGCCGGGCTGGACCGACAGCCTCCAAAACAATACAGAGAAACCCTGTCTCGTAAAACCAAAAAAAAAGAAAAAAAAAAAAAAGAAACAGATTCTTTGCTTAGCTTGTTTGTAGACCATGAAATTGGAGCCTAGAGCAGAAAACTGACTTCCCCAACGCACACTGTCCATAACTCTTAAGATCCATGACCCTTTAACACTATCAAAGCAACATGCTTATCATAGATGTGTTAAAAGTTTTAGGATCTGAAAATGTACCAAAGCCAAAGCAGGAATGTCTGAGTTCCTTTTCACACTGCCTGAATGTGTTCCCACATGTTGAGTAAATCAACCCCAACTGTTTATTCCTCCTGCCTACTGAGCCTGTATCCCTACAGTCTTTTGTTGGGTCACATGGATTTTGCTTCTTGCATTGCCCTGTAATATTTCTCTCAATCCCTGCTTATGGTGTGCCGTGGCCTGCTTTGGGTAATTTGTCCCTTCCTAGACTCTTGAAATAAACTCCCTTCATGGAAAAGACCTCTGTCTGTTCTTGCTCTCCTCAGCTTGTCCTGTGTTCTGTGACCAGAAACACAATTTGCTGAAACACAGGCCTGATGCTCTTCTGCTTAGAAGTTCTCATGAGTTAGTTCCTTTGCCTTGAAGTCCAGACCTGTCAACCCAATTTCCCCTGTGTGGTCTCAGCATTATTGCTCCTCTGTCCACGTGAGCACATGCTCTGGGAAGCAAGCCCTGCTCCTGCTTCTGCTTGCTGCTTATGTCTCTGTACCTCTAGCTTCTTTTTTGCCCTCAGAGATTCTGTCCCAATGATGCTGAAGATTTAGTCCAGGGGTTACCTTTCAATGAGGACATTTCTGAGCAACGCAAATGACCCATATCCTCTGTTTTCAGTCCCCCGACACAGTCCCTGTCACACCTTTGTATTTGCCTGCCTCCCCACACACATGGCTGCCATGCAACTGTATGCTCTTTGGTGGGCCATGACTCATTCATCTTTGAGTGCCTATTCATCTTGAATTTCTAGATATTGTAGGCCCTCAATAAGTGAATGACTTCACGGAAGAGAGAAGAAGGTAAAGGGAAGGTGAATATCCCGGAGTGGGTGGTAATACATATGGCTTCTCTCTGTGTAAGGCATCTATAGTTGGGGAAGAGGGCTACAGTGCATTAACACTTGTATGAGACTCCCTCTCCGTGCAATTCCTACATGAAAGTCAAGGTGGGTGCTTTCCAACCCTGCTGTCGACAGTTCACCTGCCCTTTGCTCATTGGGGATGCTGCCTTCCAGGATGCTCAGTGTTCTGCCTTCATGTTCCATCTCACCATCCCTGTGTGGTACACAGAAGAAGCCCTAGTGAAAGAAGGCCTGAGAGAATGTGTGTTGTTAACATTGGCATGGCTCCATAGCCTCACACCCATGAGAAAGTGGCAAAGCCTCCCCCAACACCCTAAGTTGAAGCTTGGAGGGATGTTGGACATTTATGACCCAAAGACTGCTCCCTTACAGACACTGCTCCTACCAAGTCCAGACCTTGTAGTTCAGTTTCCCTAGTCTGATTTCAGCTATTGCTTCTCTGCCTGTGTGAGCACAGGTACTGGACAGCAAGCCCCGCTCTCACTTGTTTGAGCTAAAACAGTCTTTTTGATCCAAAAGTAAGCCGTAAACCCTGCCTTGTTTATCTATATTTAAGAACCCACCCTCCATGTTCAATGGTATATAATAAACACACTGAGTTTCCAGTGTGCTGAGGTTTCTCTATCAGAGAGCCCAATGCAGCCCATCCAAGATATCTGTCTGTGTGTTTGTCTTTTTTTTCTTCCATTCCCTCACTGTCCTAGTCAGTCTGACTTTGGAGCTGTGTTGGATGAGGCACCTACCCATATTCTGGGAGTGAGGTCATCAGATGATGTACGGTTTTGTAGCTCACTTCTATCCCTTTTTTTTTTTTCTGTCTGTGACTGGAGTCAAGGAAAGCCTCTAGAAAAAATGCTTAGGCCTCTGAGCAAGACCCTTTCAGCCTAATTGTCAAGATCTAGTGCTCAAGGCATTCTGGGCTTGTGGATCCATCTGGCCAGCCCCCCCTTCTTGTTTCTCTCTTTGACTGTCAGGCACTGCTTGATCATTGGGGTCAGAATCGCCCTGTTCCTCACATTGGGAGTCGCCAGTGTTACTCAGGTTTCCAAAAGTTGCTAATACTGGAACAGAAACAGAAGCATAAGCCAAAATCAGAATCAGGGCTCATAACAGAGAAATAGCCTTACTTCATCTCTAGTCCTGTAAATTACAAACAATTTATGGGCTGAAGTATCAGTTGGTAAGGGTTCCCAGGGCTTCAAATCTTCATAATTAACTTGATTAGTGGATCACAGTTGAGACATAATGAGAGCAGGTGTACATTTGGGAGCTTTGTATTTGGCTAAAAATATAGGCCTGACAAAACACCTGCCACTCCTCTCTGCCTTTCTCCTTTCTCCAGGGAAGTCCTAGACACTGAATAAATTTTGAGAGGAGCATATCTTTAGTCAGGAACTTTTCTACTTTGTAGAAATAACAGTGTATAGAAAATTATAAAGAAAGTATAAATGAATGAAAATCTTGCCTAGAGATTATCTTTTTGTTGTTTCTTCTGTCTTTTTAAAAGTACTTTTTCCATATTTGAGGTCATGCTGCTCTGTTCTTTTGTTCTGCACATTATCCTTGGACGGACCCTTTTGAGAAAAGTATTCAGAAAGCTAATTCAGGCAGAGGAGGCTCTGACCCCAGGTAGAGCACAAAAGCACTACTTAATTCAGCATCCTGCACCACCCAAATTGGGAGTCTGAGACAGCAGGTTCTAAGATGAAACATCTCACAAATACTTGAACTACAGCATGCTTGCCCAGTCTTTTGCTTATGATATAATTGCCACTGTTCTTGGCAGTCGATATGGAGGGCATCATGAACTTTATATTCACATTGCTAGTCTTTAAAGCTTAAAAATATGAAACAATGTATCACTCATTTATAAGAGAGCTTCCAGATTGAAAATGTTTCCATTTCCAGTAGAGTCCTTGGTTTAAGTTTTTTGTTTTTGTTTTTAAACTCAGAATCACCAAGGGTGATTTTTTACTGTCTGAGGTTGGAGAGGATAACAAACCCAGTAGGTAGGACAAACAAAAGAAGGACAAACCAAACTTAGGTTTTAAAAAAATATGTGATACTTGCTTTAAAGTCCTACCACATCTATTCCTCCTGGAACAAAGAGCAGAAAGAGGCAGAAATACGATTTTTATCTGTGTGCTTTAAAAAGACCCACGTTAAGCAGGATTCGTGTGCATGCATGCCTGTGTGTCTGCAATGAAATCATATTTTAAAGAGGATTCAGCTGCATTATATTTATAACTATGTGTTGCTCCCAGCTTCCAGCTCCCAGCATGTCTCCTTGTGGTAGCTCACGTCTCTATTCTCTGTGTCCTGATTTCTGTTCTAAAGTATGTAGCTTTGAAGAAAGTAGACTGTCCATTCTCTCTCCTCACCAAACCCAATCCTAGTCTTGACTTTTTGAGACTCTGGTCTAACGAAGGATTTTATTCTGACATGTTGGGCTCATTGCAGGAGAAAGTGTGACTTGTTGGGGATCAAGTCCCTCCCTTTGTTGCCGTGCTTGGCTAGTATAAATGGACAATGAAAACTTAGTCATATCATGGGGTCATTTGCAAATACTAACTGAACAGCTCCCTAGGAAAAGAACAAGTATTACTTATTACAAACTAAAGTTTATTGAAAGTCCTTGAGGAAAGGAGTTAAAATGCAGATTTCCAGGTTGCACATTCATTTTGATTTCATTGTTTTTAATCGAGATTCTGGGTGTCCTGTATTTTACTGTCCACCACCAATATGACAAAAAGAATGCCATTGCCGCAGCATCCTTCTGGCGCTATCCTTTAGGTTACATGTTTTGTATCACTAGGGGTATCCTTAGTATTCTCATATTGACCATTTATCACCTTGATAACAATGTGCATTTGGGAGGGGCACATAGTTCAGTTTAGAATGTAGCTTGGGGTCCCACCTACTCAGGAACATTTGGGATAGGCTAGTGTACCTCTCTAATTATAAAGTAAACATACAGTATCAGACACTGAAAATAGTTTCTAGGGTAGTAGACAGAGCACCTGCATTCTATGATTTGCTCTGATATAGCTCTTCTGTAAGACTCCTGATTCCTGTTGACACACACATAGGGCCACTCCAAGAACACATTCGAAGTTCACGGTCTGTGACCATTCATTTTTCAATCCAGCCCATCTCTCATATCTCCCCTCTGTATAAACTTGTTCAGATGTCTAAGCTTTGCATAAAATGCTCAGCCAGACATTGTATGTACATACATAAACATGCAGTAAATAGAAGAGCATAACACAAATACATTGTTATCTCAACCCTTTCATGTAGACATACCTTTTGTAGTGGAAAGCATACATTTTTGGAGTCAGAAGACAAGGTCAAATTCTAGCTGTACCATTTATTTACTGGTTACTTATAATAATGCATTAGTTTATGTCTTATGCCTAAGTTTCCTCATTAGGGTTAAATGAGGAATCTTGTGAAACATCCATAACCATGTTTAGACTCTAATAAGAAGCCTACAGATGTTATGTACAGCCTTTGTTGTTAATTTTCTGGGTGTTAAAGGAAATAGTTCTTGAATTTCTCTCATAGAGCTGCTTCTTCAGGGCTCTTGGTGACATACATTAGAAATAATCCAGGCCAAAGTAAGCAAAAAGACCATTTTTGAGAATGTAGTGAGTGGCTCTAACACTCCCTAAGAATGCTGAAGATTCAGATGCAGGAGACAAGTTGGAACCCAGCGAAGCCATTCCAGGGCTGCAGCTCAGACCTCACCCTTGAACAGTTGCCCCTGACTCCCACAGTCTCTGGCCAGCTGCTGCTGCTCCCTCATGGCAAAACCAATTCTCCAGTGTCCCTGCTTCTTACACTACCAGATCCACGAAAAACTAAGGTAGAGGTCACCTGTCACCTCTACTACACTCCAGCTTTGGTGGTCAGGAGGCGACTAGACTTCTGACTTCTGTATTTGAAATGGTTCAGATATGGGGGAAGAACTCAGAGGGCAAGTTGTGGCGAGAAATTGGCCCCTCCCCCTTAGTCCACATATGTCCTGCTTTCACATACGCCCTAATGGGCGAAGGTGTTTCTGCTTCAGGAATTCAGGGCTATTTTAAGTCCTTCAGCACCTTTCTCCTTTCCTCTAGCCAGAATATGGTTGCCTGGTTCTTTACCACTACTAACCCTGAACAGCCCATATCTTGCCCCATCTTTCCAGTGCTAACACAGACACATCTTTTATTGTGGTTCTCAACCCCACTCCAAGACTAACTTGCTCTTTTCTCTGTCCACCAGGCCCTTTCTCTATGTCTTCCAAGATGACACTGGCTCAATTTTTTACAATGAATATGCATTATGCCTTTAATAGTCTGGCCTTCTTCCTCTCCTGGACCCAAGATGAGGCTCCTCAAGGACAGGAAGGCTATACTATTACTCATGTCCTGTGGTCTTAGTTCTTAGCACCCAGTAGAGCCTTAGTTGTTAATCCAAGCATGCATTTTTTTCAACGTATTTGGACGCCAACATACAGGACATAAACCCATTTAAAAAGTAGGCATAACCCATATAAATATGCTCTGCAATGTGTAGATATAGGCTGTTTCAGTCTAGTTTCTTACTTATTTTTCTATTAAAAAGGCCTTAAACTACACCACACTCCAGAAAAAGGTTGCATAGTGGGTTTGTCCCCTATGGATTCCAATTTTGATTGGGGACTTGCCTTTTGGTTCTTTGAACCAGACCCACAGGCCAGGACACAGCAAAAACAAAAAAACAAACAAACAAAAACAAAACAAACCAACAAAAATCCCCACATTGTTCTGCCTTCAGGAGTTGCTAGTCTAAGCCTCATGAGAAAGAAGTTAAGCCAGGTCCTTGCAGTCTTCTCTGTCCCTGTCACCCAGTTCAGGTTCAAACTGCCACTGGCATCCCGAGAGAAGAGTCCTAGCCTGCCTAGTGGCCTGGGTAGAGCACACATGGTCCGCAGCTCCGGGGTGCACTTAGCTGCTGAGCTCTGACCTCCGGGCCCCCCGAGAGGCAGCACGTGACCGAGAAACTTTGGCGGGCGGCGGCGCGGCGGCCGAGCTCCCCCGCCCGGCGAGCTCTGCTGCGGGGAGGTGCTCGCTCCGCACCGCGCAGCCTGTACGTGCGGGAACGGCCCCCGCAGCCCAAGCGGACTCTGGAGCCGGCGGCAGCGCGCGTCTCGCAGGCGGCGGCGTCCAGCGCCCGGGCCCGGGCTGCGCGGCCAGCCCAGAGGGCTGCGGCGCCAGGGACGCGCGGGGCCCACGCTCCGCCGCCGCCTGCTGCCGCGAGGTCATCCGGATCCTCGTGTGCCAGCCGCTGCCGACTGTCCCCACTCCCCATCTGCATGGGAAGTTGGGGAAGATGGACAAGATGGACAGGGTCCTGTTGGGGTGGACCGCTGTCTTCTGGTTAACAGGTAAGAGTCGTTTTCCACGGCGAAGGATAACTTTACATGTATTCCCACAGTGGTGGTGTTCCTCTCCACCCTCATTTTCCCCCTTCTTGACCATGTTAAAGCTGCTGCTGTTAGTGTGTGTGTGTGTGTGTGTGTGTGTGTGTGTGTGTGTGTGTGCGTGCGTGCGTGCGTGTGTGTGTGTGTGTGTGTGTGTGTGTGTGTGTGTGTGTCTGGTTGGTTGGTTGGTTGGTGAGGGAGGCAGGGGAGAAGCCCGATTGCAAAGGAGCTGGATGGAGATGCAGGTGTTAGACTCACTAGCGCTGTGAGGTTGTTCTTAGGACGTATATTTCCCCTCCAGACAATGGTTCTTCCTCTCTTTTTCCTTGAGTTTGTTAGGGCTATGAGTCCTGGGTAATGCCTGGGAAAGCTCTGATTCATGAAGAGGACTCGTTTTCTAGAGGTGCGGGCAGCTACTTCCCTAGAGAAGGAGGGAGACCCAGGGGCATTCTCTGTGGCTCTCTGGCTACAAGGGTCGGAGTTTGGGAAGATGAAAACAGGCTTGCTTGGTTATGGAATTTAAGGCCTGATCGGTCTCACTGGAACCATTATGGAGAAGATAATAGATCAACTCCCCTCCCCCAATAAGGTTAATTTGCATGAAGGTTCAGAGGCGCTGAACTTTGCTGGAGCCTCTGGTGCAGCCCTTCCCCCCTTCGTGAACTTTCTTCCCATCTTCTGGTGCTGGGAGAGGCCCTTGTTTGTAACACTTTATCCGTGTGGCAACTCTGGGCTAAGGAACAAGGTAGCCCTAGTGTGGCCGCCTCAGAGAGATTCACAGAGCAGCCCTGCTGGAGGTTAGAAGAAGCAGAGCAAGGAGGGTTTGGATGGCTTGGGATGGGTCAGAGGCAACCAGAGACAGAGTCAAGGAAACCGGACAAGGTGTCAAAAGGTCATAGGGACACGATGAGGGCAGTGGTGAAGAGAAAAGAGCAAATAGCAGGAACAAGAAAAGAGTTTGTATCCTCTAGGGCATCCACTAGGTCGTGGGAGGGGGTGAGGGGATGGCACAGGAATAAAGACACTGGAAATGGGAATCAGCTTAAAACAGCCAAAGCAACTCACAGAAACAGGAGAAAATACATTGTGGAGGAAGAAAGGCCAATGCTTCTATCTTCTTTAGTTCGGAATGAAATTATCAATTGCCTGAGTTCTTTTCCTATTGCAAATGATAGTCCCTAACACCGTTCCTGCCTCCAGCTGGGATGAGGTGGGGGGCACCCTCCACAGAGTTAGCCTCTTATCTTGGCTGCTCGGAGTTCATCCCTCCCACATTATTCAGTTATGAATCATCTAATTCTAGGGCTTGGCTGATCTGTGCTTCCCCCTCCTCTGGCCTCCCAGTGCTTTCCACCGCCACCCTCACAGATTCTGACTCTCAGAGTGTCTCTATTGCTCAGTGCCATCTTCAAGGGGGAACTTAGGCCTGCAGCCTGTGTCGTCAGGCTTTTCTGAAGTCAGCCAGGCATCTTAGGAGGGGTTCATGAGTCAGAGGTGCTTTTCTGGACCTTGTCCCCTACTGGGTCTGCCCAAGAGCAGACATCCTCCCGGGACTCACAGAGAGTGGGAGAAGAACATATGGTCTCTCTAGATGGCTAACAGTTTCTTATGAAATGGAATTCTATTAGTGAAGGGACCACAGGAACTCTACTTCAACCCCCTGGTTTATAGAAATAGAGGTGCAGAGAAACAATATGCACATTTGTGGCTGGGGCTAGATGTCAGCCCTGCCCTGACCCTAGCCAGCCTTATTTGCACCAGCTCCACCTGCTTCGCTGGGTTTCCTGTGGGAGGCTCTGTTGCTTTATTTTTGTTTGGAGGGAGGTGCTGCATTGTCTGTACCTTCTGCCATCTGCACCTGCAGAGCTGTTTCTGCCTGGAAACAGGCAACAGGTTACTTAGCAGGGCATCTCAGCTGTCAGATGGTAGGCATGATCTCTGCATGAGCCTGGTTCCTGTAATGCCATTGGCATCCCACGAGCATCCCCCCATTCCCTGTTGTCAGAGGTGCTGATGGACAAGGTGCCTCTCAGTCCCCCACAAAGTATGAGAAGCTAACAATGGCTGCCAGAGAGGGGGCCTGAGGAGAGAAAGCAGTCAAGGCTGAGAGGGATTTAGACTCATTCCTCACACAGGAACCATATGAGGAAAGGTAAGAAATTCCGGTCCAGCGCAATCAATGAATTCTTTCTTGAGACATGGTGAAAAGGGAGAGAGAGAAAGGGGAAAAAAGCAGATTAAAAATGACACAGAGAGCCAAGAACAAATCACATTCATTCTCTCCCGCCCTCCCCTCCCCCATGCTCTCTCACCACCATTCTACTCCCCTGCTTCGCTTTAAGGCAGGCTGAGCAATTTCTAATCAACACCTGGGTTCTTTTCCTCAGGCTGTAACAGCTCCTTCCTTGTCTTATACTGCTAAAATCCTGTACTTCTTCCTGCTAGAGATTTAGCCTCATGATTTCTCATTGTCATTGCGGCACTGCTTCCTGCAAGACACTGGTTTTGTTGTTGTTGTTGCTTTGAACAAAACAAAATGCTTACCAGCTGCTATTTTAGCAACAGGTGCCATGATGGCAAGAGGCTTGAAGGAGGGCTCATTCAGTCTTTGTTCTCCAATGTGGGTGATGTTTGCTTGTCTTCCCTGGCAGCAGAGGCTGTGAGAAATGCCTGCGATTCTACTGAGAGAGTTCACTCCATGAGCTAGCTATAGGTTTTCCTAGAGACTCTTGAGTGTCTCTGTGATGGAGACACTCCGTCAGCATTTCTGTTGGTACTCTTTCATCCACCTAACCCATTCTGAAGGCATGTGCTCAGTTCCTGTGGTGTCTAAGTGGGATGGTAAGAGACAATTCTTACCCTCCGAGAAGGATCAATCTAGTTGGTGATTCAGACAAGCACTCAGGTAATTGTTAGGATGGTTGATGGTTCTGTAAGACCTACCTTGGTGCTATGGCGCATGGAACAGGCATAGCCAATCCAAATCAGGGAATTCCAACCCACACTGACTCCGAAGTTCCTGAATTGGTGATGGCTGAATTGAGACTTTTTCTCATTCAGTCAGTGAGTTACTGTCATGTCTTGGGCATTGTGCTGGGATTAATAAAATGAGTAAGATGCAGCCTCTCCCTTCAAGGAGCCCAGTCCGGTGGCAGAGACACTGGCTGTGCAACTGTGGACAACAGTACCAGCACTGTGTAAAAGCAGTAAGAGAAATCTTCCTTCAGTATTGTGAGGTGCCTCAGAAAACCTCCAACCTATCTGAAGGAGATAGGGAGATATTGAGGTGGCTGTTCCCGGGGCCACTTTGCTACGTGATGACCATGGAAGGACAGTAGGTGTGGAGACTTAGAGGTTTTTTTTTTTTTTTTTGGTTTTATGAGACAGGGTTTCTCTGTATTGTTTTGGAGGCTGTCGGTCCAGCCCGGCCTCGAACTCACAGAGATCCGCCTGCCTCTGCCTCCCGAGTGCTGGGATTAAAGGTGTGCGCCACCACCGCTCGGCTTTTTTTTTTTTTTTTGGACTTAGAGTGTTATTAATGCTAGGAAAGGAAGACTCACTTTTAGAGATTGCTGGTACCTCAACTTCCATCATCCTCTTCCACATCCTGTGTAGCTCCTACACTCTTTCCCTTTGTGTTCTGTCTTCTTCCACAGAAGGGACATTGTTTACATCAAACTTTTCCCCACCATTTTATCACAGTGGTCCCCATGCCCACCATCCCCAACCTAGATGCTTCTCGGTGGATCAGAAGAAGGTTGCTGTTTCAGAACCCTTATCAGACACACGAATTTGCTGAGTGGCTGATTTGCAGAGATTCGAGTATTGGTACTTGAATGATACTAAGGTACTAGAAGCTTTACTCCAAGTACTTAATGCTTGGTCTAATGACAGCTGTCTTAGTCCTGGAACTTGGTGGATGGAAAGATCCTGAGAGTTGAAGGTTGAGTTCAAGGACTAGCTCTTCCACAAATAACTGTATAGTCCTGGGCAGGTTTATATCTTGATCTTATCGTCTCTTAGATGGGTGGTTTCTAGGGTGATTCAGAGTCTGAACTTTTTTCCCTTTAATTTTTATAACCTAGATATCAGAGCTCAAGAGTGACTGGTTCATTCATCCTTTTTATAAAGTCACCCAGTGATGGAAACAGAGACAATCTCAGTTTTCTTCAGTGTTTTCATTCTAATTAATGATGAAACAACACCAACTAGGAAGGGAGATCTGTTGCTGAAATTTTCAGGAGAACAAGTGGATTAGCATTCAGTTTCTGGAGAACAGGGTGGTCACTGTGGGGACGGTAGAGCAAGGTAAGTACACTGGACCAGGTGGGCTGACTCTTCCCGCAGTCAGCATGGCCCTGCAACATCCCTCCACCTTCCAGGACTCCTTTATTTTTCACTCCTTTTGGCGTTTATCCTTTTTTTGCTTTGGTTAAAAATAAACAGAAAAATAATGGTTTATGTTGGTTGTTCTTATTTTTGTTATGGTGTTTTTCTCTGTGTTGGGTGGCTTTCATATGCATTATCTCAGTGATTCTTATGCTCAAGAAGGCCAGCGCCCAGAGAAAGTAAGGGACTTATCTGTCCATGGTGTTTTATTTATTGAAAAATTTGTGAGATACAGTGTGTCACCTCTTTAGTGTAAATTGGCAGTTTCAAGTGCCATAATCCAGGAAATCATTCTATTTTGGTTAAGGTAGATCAAACTATAACTCTGGCCTTAAGTGAATATACATGGTGACTATTGTGGCATCTTGGATTAGAGTTCATGGAATTCAGGAAAATAGTGGAGGGGAAAGTGAGAAATATTGGTTGGTGGTTTTCCCTAAATCAAGTCCTGGGGTGTGGGATGGAGTGGGGAATACTCTGGAAAGGCAGAGACTGTGTCCCGGGGATAGCAGACACTGCTGAGCATTTGGGACTAGGCGTTGGTGCTATACACCCAGGAGGCATGCAAGATGTGA